TTTCTTTGAATATAAAAAAGTATGAGCATATTACTCCTCTTTCTCATAATAGTAGATGTATTTTGATTTTAATTTTTCAAAATTGCTATCATCCGCATCAACTTTTATTTTGCCTTGGGTTGTCCATCTCAGCATATTTTTAGATATTTTATTCCTGTCAGCAAAGTGGTAGGCCCCATTAACAGTGTTCGTTAAGCCATGTTTATATCTTCATCCAATAATTTCTTGTATAGTAAATTTGAGAAGTTTCAACCCCATAATTAGAAAATTTAAAAGTTAAGTTTCTTACATAGTAAAATTAAAAAAGTTTGACTCTTATTCGAATGTGTTGTAGAACTTTTTTTATGATAAAATCAATAATTAAAATTAAGAGATAATAATTAATGATTTAATCAATTCAGTGATATTTTTTAATAAAATAAAAGTTTATGAATTTATATCATATAGTTACAATAAGAAAAAAAAATATTTTTTCTTTTAAAATATATGAAAAAATAACTATTATTTTTACATAAATTTTAAATAAAAAAATGTCTTTTTTTCTGAGACGATGAAATATTAAATTAATATATAGTTGATGAGTTAGGATAGAGAACCTCTGTCTCGATGTTGAGATGCGGAAATGATTTGTATCTTAATTAGGCTGCACTTGTCTTTGTATTTTATGCCTTCTGATCATTTGATGACTTAGCATTTTTTTTAGCATGACTACACTCATAAAACATTATCAATGAAATAATATGAAATGGAGTTTCAGTAATGATGTGTTAATAATTTTTTTACCTGAACGATACTTTTTATTGTGTAGTGAATGCTGAAAAAATATTTTTACTTCTATTTTATACCTCAAAAAGAAAATATAGCAGAATGAATTGTGTACCTGTAGGTCTAGAAGAAGAAGGTATTCAAGAAATTGGACAAAGAAACAAGTTGGGCCAAGCAGATTAGAAGTAGCGTACAATAGATCTTCTTAATTGCAATTGCAAGCCTATTCTTTCTGATAAAGAGAGGCTTGATTGATAGATATTTCCTGAAAGAAAAAACATGATTCGAATGTAATCACTAGGAGACATACGCTTTTATATTAATTTACTTGAAGTGCCTAGAAAAAAAAAAGAGGAGACTTCACAAGAGTATCAATTAAGAAGCTACAAATTAATTAGGGAAAATCAAACAATAGTACAATGAGGAATCTAACAATTCTTTTAAAAACTAAAAATAAGAATCTCACAAGAAAAAAATTAAGTAAAAAAATATCTTAAAATTATATATATATGTTGTTTAAACGAAATTTCTATTAAAAAATTATTTTAATTAATTCGATTTAGGGTAGAGGAATGTTTTCAAAATAATAATTCCAAAAACAAGGAGTAGAAATCTAGGTTATGAGATTATTACATTTAAGAAAATTATTTATTTATTTGGATATAAAAAAGTATATGCTTTTTCATGTTATACTTCAAAGCGAACATAATCGATGGAACTGCAAACTTGTAAGTCTAGAAGATGGTATTGAAGAAATTAGACACTGAGAAACAAATTAAGCCTAAAAAATTAGAAAATAACAAACAATAGATAAATGTTGATGGATATTTCTTAAAAAAAAAACATAATTCAAATATAATCATTAATTAGGTGACGAACACTTCTATATTAATTTATTTGAAGTGACTTCCGACAAAAAAATTTACTTGAAGTGACCAGTGACCATAAAAAAAAAAAAATGGGGAGAGAGACCTCAAATGGAATATCAATTAAAATGAGAATATGAAAAAAAGAAAAGAAAACATAAACTAAATCAACAATATGGTTATGAATTACTGTATAAGAATCACTGAGACATATATCAAAGAAAAATGACATAGATAGATTGTGTACTTACATGCAGGATTAGCAGAAGAAATAGGTAAAGTTAGACACTAATAACCAACTTGGGCCGAGCAAAGTAAATTATTAGAAGTAGCAGCAGGTTCAACTTCTGATGAGAGGGGTTGATGAGA